TCGTTCAAATAAAAAGGATCTAAAACAATAAAAAAAATTTAATAGATTGGTGCTAGTGTGGAGCGGCTCACCTGCATAGGCTGCATACCTTTTTCTTCACAGCTGTTCGTCGGAAGCTCGGAGCAGTGCGGATTGAGTCGTCAAGGCTGTTTCCTCGGTGGCCTTGAGGCTCCGCGCTGGCAGCACCAGCCGGGTGCTGTCTCCGACCTGATCCCCAACGTCGTGTTCGTGGTGATGGTGGTGGTGTGGCTGAGTTCACGCCCGCCGGCGGCCATGGCCTCCTCAGCCGTGGGGCACGGTTGACGGAATCGGCCCCGGCCTGGGATTTGGGAGCGCTCCGTCGCTTCGGCGACATCTACCAGCACTCCCTCGGCCGAACCCGCAGAAGGCGGCCGGCGAAATAGGACACGGTCAGGTGATACAGTTGACGAAGAGGGTGAGGGTGTACGATATAATTGATGATGATCAGTTGTTCTGTCTTCTATGTTTGAGAACTTATGATGATCAGCATGATAGGTCTAGTGAGGCTGAGGCTCAGACTGCTGAGAGGGACAACATAGCTAAAAATAGAATAGCTGACATTGATATTGACACAACTGGTGCTGCAATTCTTGTTAATGATCATGTACCAGGGAAAAGACTCTATGCTTATGATCCTAACAAACCTTGTATGGATATTGGCACCGTGTATCCAAACATGAAGAAGTTTAGACTGGCCATGTAACAATTTGTAATAAACAAGGAGTTTGAATTTCACTTAGTCAAGACAGATAAGAAGAGGTACATTGCTGATTGCCCATGGCATATTAATGGACGAACACAACCTGATGGGACGACTGTGAAGGTGTATAACTATTTGCTAACTGTATGTCACCATTTTTTGTTGTAAATATCTAATAATTTGGCTATTGGCTTGTTGCATGTAATAGCTTTGATTGCTATGCATACTTGTACTTCTAGCGCAAGGAGGAAGACCACCGCTCCATCAGCTGCCTGGGTGGCATCAAAGGCCATTCATCACACCTCAGGAAGAATGAATTCCAATATATATATATATATATATATATATATATATATATATATATATATATATATATATATATATATATATATATATACATATATATATAGCAGCTAATAAAGTGTGTGTACCTCGCGGTTGGTCCAGCTAAGAAAGTGTGTGATCTCTAGATGTGATCTCACGCGCGGGTTTTACTCGACGTACAGTACTCGTGCATATATATAGTACAATACGGAGTATATGTATGTTATAGGTTGTCCGATCGATCCAATCCATGTATAAGTTCCCTATCATATACGGGAAATAAAAGCTTGCACAAGTCGTGTTGACTTCGAGCTTGATCACTCCATGATATGCCGTCAGGCGCGTGCCCCTACATGATGTTGCAGTATGACTATTCCGTCTAGCTAATTGGACTAATTTATGGGCCACCTTGTTGCCATCTCGCTTTACCTTCTGGAACTTCTATTCTACCAGCAGCTGCAAATATTCTTTTGCCTCCATAACAGTACCTCTAATATCTGATCTATCGACGTTGCGATTAGACATTGCCTTCACAATCCTAGCACTGTCGGACTCCACAATAACCGGACCCGGGCACCATTTAATTGTGAAGCCAATCAGAGGCCCTCTCCACAGGCCAGCGCTTCGGATCCATGCTGTCAGGATCACCTCGCCCATCATATATTGTGTTGTGTGTGATTACTCGCTCTCTCTCTCAATAAATCAGCTCTTAGAGTTACCTTAAGTCAGACTTTTAAAAATTAACTGATTTATAGAAATAATGTCAAAGTTTATGATATAAAATTAATTAGTATAGTTAGATACACCAATAGACTATTTTTATAATATGCTCATTTAGTGTCAAGAATATTTATACTTATTTCTTTTAAATTTGGTTAAAGTAAAATAATTGACTTAAGATAACTCTAGAAAATAATTTATTCAAGGATGGAAAGAGTACTTAATTTGAGGCTCTAGCTATATTCTTGTATATCTTTAATTATTGTCAACCAAATATACAGTGCGCAAACTAAACCAACCCAATAGCCAAAGCAACATTTGGTTACCGTCTTTTTGCTAGTTTTTTTTTTCTAGCTTTCTGTTTATTTTGAGGAGTACTCCCTCCGTTCTCTCAAAAATTATGTGATGGTACACGTGCTGGTCAAACTTTTTCAAATTTAACTAGCTTTATAGAAAATACTAACAATATTTGTTTCACTAAAAAATGTTGTAAAAATATATTTCATGATTTATCTAAAGATACTAATTATACATTATAAATATTAATATTGTTTTATATATAATTGGTGAAAGTTAAGAATGTTTAACTTCTCAGGAGGTGAGAAAGACATTCTTTGTTGTGGGACCGAGGGAGTAGAAGGGCATGTTTGGCTTACTACCGCAGCCCGCCATGTCGCAAGTCTGGCGCAAAAAAACAGCGTCGCACTTTTGGCGAGTTTTGGCATGCAAATGAACCATCAGACACCTAAGCCAGGTGTGGCACACCTGCAGTAAACGCTAACTGAGGTTATACGAGATAAGGGCAGTCCCAACCTTGAAGCCACGACGGTTTCCATAGCATTAAATAGACTGTCACGTTGTCGTTTTGCTGACGTGGAAGGAGAGTTATTAAGAGGAAAGAAAGAGAAATGGTTTCTGAGATAAGAAACGGTGTCGGCTCTCGTTCCTACGCACCAGGCAATTCCATTTTTTTTTTATAATTTAGCCTTTTTTTGAAGAAAATTTACGTTTGCCCCCTGGGAGACGTAAACCTCATCTTTGGACCCTAGGGTGGCGCCAGGACTCATGGCGCCGAGGTAACACGTCTCGGCACCACAGATCTTGGCTCCGAGGTGCCTGCCCGTGCACAGTAAGGCATCCTAGGTGGCGTTGACGTGGCCGATTCCTCGGGGCTAGAATACGTGGCGCCGAGCTCGACGCCACATATCTAGGCGCCGAGTCCGGCGCCATAGATCTTTGCGCCGTCCTCGGAGCTATGTAATCTGGCGAGGTGGCAGCGCATCACCGTTCGGGTTCCGGCTGCCATGTGCCGGTGCTCAGAGTAATCTCCGTCCTCAGAGGTCAGAGCCCAAAGGCACGCTGCTAGGACGCAGACGGACGGGAACAGGACAGACATCGGTTCGCACAGCTGCAGTGCAGGTTGCATTGCATTGCAGTGCCCACTGCCCAGTCATCAGTGGCCGGGGGGATGGGGCTCGGGTCAACACAGTCATGCTACTAGATTGTTGTAAAAAAAACAGTCATGCTAGATTACGTAGCTAGTAGGAGTAGCGCTGCCACGACAGCTGTGACTATGGACTGCATGCCCTGCGTAGCTACCTATGAGTAGGAGTAGCGCCTACTACTGTACATACGCCCCCTGGCGGCTGGCGCTGTACTGTCACGTACACCTCATGTGCTTTCTAGGATGGAGCCCATAGTCACAGCTGTCGTGGCAGCGCTACTCCTACTAGCTATGTAATCTAGCATGACTGTGTTTTTTTTACAACAATCTAGTAGCATGACTGTGTTGACTCGAGGTCGGACCGGAGCCCCGAGCCCCATCCCCCCAGCCACTGATGACTGGGCAGTGGGCACTGCAATGCAATGCAACCTGCTGCACTGCAGTTGCGCGAACCGATGTCTGTCCTGTTCCCGTCCATCTGCGTCCTAGCAGCGTGCCTCTGGGCTCTGACCTCTGAGGACGGAGATGACTCTGAGCACCGGCACATGGCGGCTGGAACCCGAACGGTGATGCGCTGCCACCTCGCCATATTACATAGCTCCGAGGACGGCGCAAAGATATGTGGCGTCGAGCTTGGCGCTATGTATTCTGGCGTCGAGGTACCGGCCATGTTAACGCCACCTAGGATGCCCTGCTATGCACAGCCAGGCACCTCGGAGCCAAGATCTATGGCGTCGAGACGTGTTACCTCGGCACCATAAGTCTTGGCGCCGACCTCCAGGGTCCAAAGATAAGTTTACGTCTCCCAGGGGGCAAACGTAAATTTTCTTTAAAAAAAGAGAGCCAAATTATAAAAAATTAAGCTAGGCAATCATCGATTTAGCGATGCTCCGGCTCGCGTGATGGTCGGCTCCGCCCTCTTCTCCCGCATGCAGATACTCAATCCGGCCCTTCATCCTGTGCGACAGTTATGTGGACGGGTGTCTTTGTTCCGTCGGCTCCTTTGTGGTATGTTCTGTCCAGCTTTACATTTCTTCATTGCAAAGGAAGGATCCCACGTGCTTTGTTTCTTGCTGCACATTGATGACTGGACAACATCATCTTGCGATACTGAAATACTATATACGCAAGAACAGGTTTTAATTAGTTTTCTGTATTGGCAACTTCACGCAGGCAACTTGTGCCCTGACTGATAAGCTATGGCTGAAAGTATTGTTTGTTGATTTGTTGTGAAAGAAAAACACTGTTCGTTGGCTGAAAAATACAGCTTATAAGCGAACAGGGCGTTGGATGCTTGCCATAGATGATCAGCGCTCTTTTCGTGATGCATGTACGAGGCTATTAAATTTTTCTCTATATAGAAACTATCATGAAAACTCTGGGTCGTGAAGGTTAGTTTCTACAAATTATTTATTGTTCTATTTTGTCTTGGAAACTGGCTATATGGAACTGTCCTAAGCGGTGATGACCTGCGGTAAACTCTACTGACCATCCGAACATGCCCTAAAAAAATAATATAGCCAGAACCATTTTGAAAAAAAAAATCTATACGAAAGTCTCGAAATCAATGCCGAGGTCAATACAGCATCAGCATCTCTAATTACAAGAGGGATCCCATGCCGTCCGATCCGAGTCGGGGTCAAAGTGTCAAACTGATCGAACGGTTCACGATCAACGTGTCCCCTTCACATTTGCCAATCTTCTTCTGTACGCTTCCCAATGTCCGGGCACCGTTTCGTTCCCTCTCCCACGTCTCTCCGTGTTCCCGACGCCATTTCGAACCCACCTCCGATGGCCACCGCCGAAGGCGACGCCGACTGGTCCCTGCCCTCCCCCGCCGACCTCGAAGACAACGGATTCCCGGCTCAACCCTCCTCCCCCGCCGCCTCTAGCAGCAGCTTCGCGGAGGACTTCTACCGCAGCGGCACCGACTGGTCCTCCCTGCGCGCCCCTCCGCCGCTGCGGCCGCCCGGAGGGCCACCCGGTGTGAAGGAGAAGGAGAGGGGAGGCGGCTCGCTCGTGCAGAGCAGCCTCTTCCAGGCTTGGGGGATCGAGGAGCCGCGGCGGGAGGTTGGGGATTCATCGCTTGTGCAGAGGAGCTTCTTCCAGGCGTGGGGGATCGAGAGGCCGCGGAGCGAGGGGCTCGGGGCTCGGGGCTCGGGGCTGCGGATTCCTCCCCCTCCCCCTACCTTTCCGGTTCTTGGTTGGGAAGGAAGCGGAGGCGAGGAGGCACCGAGGAGGAGGGGGTGACGGCCAAGAAGCCCCTCGCGTGCCCCTTCTACAAGAAGATTCCCGGTAAAGGCCGCTGCGTTTCATGGTTGGATACGAAATTAGTCCCAAATTAGTTTGTTATAGTTTAGGCATTTTTTTCACTAAATTGAGAATATATGGTATGCCTGTTGAGCTACTGCCTACTGAGGATGGCATACATTGAATTGCTGGGCATCCATTGAATTGTTGTTACAGTCAATTTTTTAATTTGCCAATCTCGTTCATGCACCTGCAAATTTAATGAACCTAGGCACACCATTCACGGTGGATGCATTTCGGTATGGACGAGTTGAGGGATGCTCGGCATATTTCCTTAGCCACTTTCATCATGACCGTTACGGTGGATTGACCAAGAAATGGTGTCATGGCCCCATCTATTGTTCTTCACTCACTGCACGCCTAGTGAAGATGTGTCTGTCAGTAAATTCCGAGTAAGGCTCCCTTCTATTTCCCTCTTTGAATTGTTTCATGGTGATTTCTCAGGCCCCAGCAACATGTATTCAAATCAATGACTGCAGCTACATTTGTCCTTTGGAGCTTGATACCGAGTATGTCGTAGAGGGAGTGACAGTAGTTACCTTGTTGGAGGCCAACCATTGCCCTGGTGCAGCTCTAATCCACTTCCGTCTAAGTGATGGAAAGACCTATCTCCACACTGGGGATTTTAGAGCATCAAAATCTATGCAATTGCATCCACTTCTCCAGAGAGGCCGGGTAAATTTGGTTTACCTGGGCACAACATATTGCAATCCCAAATACACGTAAGTATACGACCCTCAAGTTTTAGGCATTTTCTCTTTTATCAGCACTTTGCTGAACATGGTAAACTGTAGGTTCCCACCCTTGATTTTGCTATGAGGATAGCTCGAAGATATCTAAAGAAGCAACCAAAAACCCTCACTGTTGTTGGGGCATATAGCATTGGGAAAGAGAATGTGTATCTAGCAATTTCCCAAGCTTTAGAGGTACTTTACAGTTGAACTTTACTATTAATTTTGGAACATGCAGACCTTATTCTCTGGTTAATATATTCATGAAAGGTCCCTATATACACTGATGCATCAAGGAGGCAGATTCTTCACTCATTTGGCTGGTCAGACTTATCCAAAAGGATATGTTCATGCAATCAAAGTTCACCACTTCATGTTCTGCCCCTTGGATCTGTAAATCATGATGTTTGTTAATGAATCTCATATGAATTCAATGAATTCAGCAAGTGAACCTCTCTGACTACAAAGTAGCATTTGTCAGAACTTGAAGAAGTACATGGAGACTCTTAATGGAAGATTTCTAGGTGTGCTGGCTTTTCGGCCTACAGGTTAATGAAGTTCGGGAGATAAATTTTTGTACTTCTGGAATACGCATTCACATCATTCTCAAGATTATCTCTATTGTTTTATCAGGTTGGACTTTCTCTGAGGCAGCTGGAAAGCATCTTGACCTAATAAAACCAAGCTCTAATGGCAGTGTAACAATCTATGGTAGGATTTGTTGGTTATGCTGATAATGGTTTTCCTCTTATTTATTGCTAATGAAAGGTCAATAAGAACCCAAACTATTCCAAATGAGGAATTCTTTAAGTATACATAGTCTGGACTTATTCTTTGTCAAATGCAGACTGAGTTTATTGATCTCTTGAGGGCACCACCAATGGAGGCTAACACTCCTAGTGGTTCTAGTACAAATAAAGTGATCCACATAGACTAGGAAATGTTGAGACTACTATTCACACAATGCAAACTATCACTACTTGTGGTTTGCAAAAAAACTTTTTCCTTTCATCATACCTCACCTTTATTCCTCTCCCTCTTCTTTTTTAAGCATGGACCACCTTCTCTCTCCCTAAGCATATGTAGCTTCTGCAAGCCACTATAACAAGTATAGAGCACCTACTTTTTTTATCCGATCCTACATGGCACTTGGGGCTACTAGTAGAAAAGCAGCATTGGGGAAGCCCTGAATTCAAATGGCTGATTTGCCAAAAGATCCAAAACTTACTTTTGCTAAGTGCTATCTGCATAATGGTTATTTTTACCGATATGAAATATCTGATCTTCCATACCGAATAGAGATTGACAGTTGCAGTTGCAGCTTATTAAGTCAAGAGAGGTGCATCCTACATTAGAGGTTCCTTTGATTATTTGAAGATTTTAAGCTCAATTTGTTTTAGAAGTACATGTGGTTCCAAACTGAGAGTCTTAATGCAAAACGATGGCTCCATATTGCCTTATTACTGTCCAATATGTATCACGTGTTCATGATAAACATTCCCAATACCAAACTACCATACATATTTCATTCAATTATGAGTTGTTTCAAACTGATTTTCTATGCTTGTAGGTGTGCCTTATAGCGAGCATTCAAGTTTCACTGAGCTTAGGGATTTTGTGATGGTAAATCCCTGAACCTAATATTACATTGTTCTCATCTTAGCTGAATTCTAACTATAGGTTAATATTTGCATTGGTAGTTTCTGAGACCTCAAAAGGTAATTCCTACTGTTAATGTTGGCAACGCGACAAGCCAAGATAAAATGCAAGCACATTTCCGGGAATGGCTGAAGAGCATGTGATAAATAAAGCCTGATGAGTTTTTTTTTCTATTTCGCCGTCAGCTTTACTCTATTCAATGTGGTACTGTTGTATACCATGCTTACACTCACAGTCCTCATGTTGAATCGAAATACAGGATTTTAGTATTTTACTGGCTAGAGCAGTGGGATTTCCTAGATGCAATTGGAAGTTGGCTATGCTGCCTTCAGAATTCTGTGGAAGAAATTGATACATGACCCAGCTTCTGAATTCCAATTAGATGATAAGGTATATAGCCTAACACCTGCTGGACTGCTAGTGTCACAGCTTCTATTGGCAACATCAGCACAAATTTCAGCTACTGTAGTGATTAAACTATTTGTTCTTATTCATCCCAGATGATTTTCTACAAGGTGGTAATGGTAATAGTACATATGTTGGTGAGATTTCTGCTGCTCATAAGAATAAGCTTAATGCTATTACATTACCATCATAGTTATGGGCAATCATCTAAATATTACCATTGCCTTCTAAGCCTAGAAAATCTTTGGTCAGTCCCACATCTCAGCATCTTCAAAATGCCTTGCTGTTGCTGATCATCAGAGACCATGTTAGATCTTTCATTTTCTGTTCTAATGGGAAATGATGGGATTCCAATCCAAGGTACTGTACCAGTTCTCATGCAGCTAACAACCCATGGTGGGTTTGTATGCACATCAGCTTGATCATGGGCGTTATTTGGCAGTCTTCATGCTAGTACTATTAGTTGATGAGTTCCCTTGGGTATATCCTTTGCCTCCAGAATATTTGTCGACTCGATCTTTAGCATTCGACAGATAATTTTGGAAACCTTGAGTAATGGTAATATAGAAATGTTCATTGGTCCTTTCTCCCATCTCTGCTGCTCTCTAGAGCAGTGATGTTACCGGCATGTATAGAGAGCTCATAGACATGTATGGATAGCTTGATCTACTCCCATGGAAGGGGGCGATGCTAAGGTCGACATAGTCAGGGTCGTCAAAGAAGTAAACGAAAAATAATGATGCAATCGAGGTAGACTGGACGAGGACGAGAAGGTCAGTGCTGAAGCTGATGCAGTCAAGCCACCATAGACAAAGTGTATGTCGGGTTACTAGACCTTGGAACGCATCAAGGACAAAGGCATCTGCCATAGACGAATTGTGCATCGGGTTATGAAGGCATGAACTCGTGTTGCCAATACTAGACGTACTAGATAGAGGGCCCCAACCATACGCCAGTGTGTAAGGAACTAGCAGAGAGGGCCTTGGTGACAATTGTGGTGTGCAACGGGGTAAAAGGTGCCGATGCAGCCCACTGTTGTTGGAGTAGACAAAGTAGGATGCAGCCCACTGTTGTTGGAGTTGACAAAGTAGGTGTGGGAAGAGATGGCGACACTAGCGACAAGGTTGTGCTAGATGAAGAAGCAGTGTAGGAGCGAACGCTCCTGCCTGAAGGCAAGTGGTCTGAATGCAAGGTTTGGCGACAGCGTCAATAGTACTTGATGTCACAACGAAGAACTAAAACAACTTGGCGAAGACCAAGTGTAGACCGGTGGCTCGCAAGAGGCGCAATAGTTGTCGATGCATAGGTGACAACTATGTAGATACAACGGAAAGTGCCATAGTGGATAAATGTGGTGGCGACCATGGGCGCGGCGATGGTGCTACAGACCTAGGAGGCATTTTACTTGCTCCGTCCTACAATATAATATATATATTCTAGAGATTTCAGGACAAATGAAGAGAGTACACAAAAACACATACCCTTACTTCATTTCCTAATCAAACGTTATCATTAACGTGATTAATGCAGATTAGTTGATAAATGACAAGTAAAAGTATAATACCTACCAAATTTGTGATACTAGTTAGTGTAAAATTCTCTCTTGTTTTCTCAAATCCCTTATATTTTTATAAATTTTTTGAATACTTGAATACACTATATTAAAGAACAAAGGGAGTATATTAGAACTTAAACTCATGATACCATGTGGAAGGAATAGAATTGAATGAAACTGAATGATTTACGCTGAGCCTCTCAATATATATAAAGTTTACATGACTTTAGGCTAAGTTGGTACACAGGATCATAATCTCAACTAACTCTATCCTAGTTGTGATATACTTTAACATTGACAACATCATGCCTACAAAACTAAAAGAAAACCTTCATGTAAAATTCTCTATTGCTTGGATGGCCGCTAATCAGTAATTGCACTTCACTATCTTATTCAGGTCAGCATATGAACAAGAATGGCTTAGTTAGGCTCACCTATATCTCGTATGTGATCCCTACTTTGAGTAGTTGGTCTTTTGGAATGGAGAGCACCTTCTCCCCTTCCATCAAGTTCTTTCTCAAGAATGTGTAGACATAGTCTACCACTATCTTCTTTGCCGCAGATGATTTTGGTCCTGCTATGACATTGGTTTCCCCCATAAGGTAGACCACCCCTCGCTCCATCTCCGTGTCAATTAGTTGCTTTTCCTTTTCGACCCAAAGAGCCAAATCAGAGGTGATGTTCTCATCATGGCCACACACCTCGGGATCGATCACCTCATCAGGACTTGTCTGGGTATCTCCGGCTATAGAGTTCGTCTCAAACACAGCCTCTTCTTGGATGAACATTTTTAGCCTCTCCGAGAGGAAACCTTTGAACAACATCGACTCTTCTAGCATGTCACTGTACCCATACCTCGCCACACACCTAAACATTCGGTGCTCCCTTGGCCCGACCTGTCGGAAGAGGAACCGCTCCACAGGAGCCACATGTGGGATAGGCAAGTGCTTGATCGACATGAATAGGAAGACCGAGTGCACAGAGGGTATCCTCTGCACCAAACGTGGAAATACAGGTGGAATACCTTGAACCAGGTCTGAGTAAAGGAGGCCCACCTCGGGGATCCGCCGCACTTCATGCTTCTCAAGCAGTGATGTCACTTCATCCGCTGGCACGATATGGTCCAGCTCATACCAGTATTTCATGACTTGGACATAGTGCCATGTTATCATTAAGGCCATGAGGACAAGCGAGAAGCAGAATGGCAGGTACCCACCTTGGACGAACTTCGTCAGTATGGATGAGAGGTAAATCAGCTCTATGGAGCTGAACACCACATAGAAAAGCAAGATGAAGATAAACTTTTTCCTCCAAACGAGTAACATCACAATAGTCGTCAAGTGGGTGGTGATTGAGAACACAGTCACAACACAGATCCCTGCACATCACCAAAATCAAATGACATAAATGTGATTTCTATTTGTTCTGGGTGTCAAAAACAAATTTTGGATCTTTTAGTTGCTTACCATAAGCATTGCCAATTTCGGTGGTGGTTCTGAAGGTGATCGTGACTATGATGCTTGCTAATCCCATCAAAAAGTTCACTTCAGGAATGTAAACCTGGCCCGCGTAGCTCTTCGAGGTATGAATCACTTGAACACTAGGGAAACAGCCAAGGGATAAAGCCTTGGAGAGGATGGCGAATGCGCCTGACAGCATAGCTTGGCTTGCAATGATAGCCGAAAGAATGGCAATAATGAAGGTTGGCCAAAACATTAGCTCTGCATTAGAACATAGAGTTTATCTTGCTCGTTATGCGTTCTCATTTCCATGAAGAAAAATTGTACGCCTAATTCGTTATACCTGGGATTGATCTAAAGAAAGTGTCTGTGACACTCTCTGGGAATTTTCTCAGATAAGCTGTCTGTCCGATGTAACACAGTGCCACTGAGGGCAATAAGACAGTGCTAAAGCTGATCTGTAGGTGAAAACACAGCGAACATTGTAAGTTATTTCTGTTCTACAAACTTGAAAATTGCTTCCTATAAAATTGGATGTAGTGTTGGGAGAATCAACATGGTGAAGCAAAGAGCATGGGTGTGAATGTCCTTGTTACCTGAATGGCCTTGATACTGAAATGGCTTAGGTCTGCATACATTCCTTCTGTGCCTATTGCATATGACAGACCATTGAGATTGTAGGCTATAGACTACCATTGCAATTGCACTTTTTTATGAAAAGTTTACCTGTGACACACAAGATAACACCACCCAATGAAACCCATCCTTCCTTCCCGTTTCTTCTGAAGTAATCTACTATGTACATTGGATTGAAGGCTCGAAGAACACCGAGCTCATGTACAATGAGGTTATACACTCCAATGCCAGCAATAAGAAAAAACCACACTGTGATGATCGGAGCAAAGGAATACCCAACCTTGTCTGTACCATAGCGCTGGACTGAGAAGAGCACAAACAAAATTGGCACTGAAATCCAGACTACCTGCGCTGCACGAAAAATGATAGCAAACAATTTACATTTTGAACAAAAGCGTACCAACCGATCAATGTTTGTAGAAGCTCTTTTTTCACATACTTTCAGTTAAGCTTGGCACCTTCTCTCTGATCCCACTCACTGCAGAGAGCACTAGAAGAACAAGAAACGCATTAGGATTTTGCATACTGAATATGAATGTCCTTATGACTTTTCCATATGCTGTTTCTGTTACCAGAAATTGCTGGTGTCAAGGTTCCATCCCCCATCACCATTGATGTGCCAAGGATTGTAATGGTAAAGAGGCCAATCTTTGCTGCCTTGCTAGACTCGAGCTTCTGCTTCAGCCACTGTGCCCTCCTCAGTTGTGAACTGGGTGCTTCAATGCCATAATTTGACACCATAGCATCCTCAGCCTGCTGGTTTGGTATCGGCCTTACCTTGGCGTGCCGCGATATAAGTGAGTAGAGAGCAAACGTGCCACCTAGAACAGCAGTATGTTGCTGTTAAATGTGAAGTACCGAATAAACAGCAGGCATATGGTGACTATATCAGGTTTACAGGTTGAAATTTCCTGATTTATCAGCTTACCATCTCCATTGTCATCTGCATAAAGCACAATGAAGACGTACTTGACCATTGGTATTAGGATGAGGGTGTAGAGGATGAGGGAGAGGACACCAAGGAGGTCATCATTGTTCTTGATGCCATCAGGGAAGGTGCTGGATATCGCATAGAGTGGTGATGTCCCAACATCCCCATAGATGATACCAACGCTCTGAAATGAAAGATGCAGCAACCGCGGCCAGCCTCCCTGTGTTATCATAAGGTTTATTGTAGTAAAACTTTTCTGTCAGTGACAGTGCATATTTGCAACACGCTAACACAGTAACCAAGTTGCTTGGGAAGCAGACCTCAGAGCCATGATGCTTGAAGCTAGAGACCTTTTCTGCATCACCATAAAGCGAGTCCTGTCGTTTGAGCTGTCTGGTCGTCTCTATTCCTGGTGGGTTCTCAACTTCTAGAGACATTTGTGCTATCTTGATACATATGACACCTCCAGGTAATTAGGGGGTTATTGGAATGTATGAAAATATCTGCATACATGATTTCAATTGCAGTGCTTCAATAATCAGGTGATGAATACAGTAAACCTAAGATCATTTTTAGCTAATTACAAAGACCTACACGTAGTACAAAGTAACACACACAAAAGAACTTCTCAAAACACGGACTTTGCCTCTACATTTCTTAGGCAGCCTTGTTACATCATACATTATCTGACATCCCAAGCTACACTAATCAATCTACCATCGGATGCTCCCTCCCCCCAGTTTATTTCTTCCAGTGAAAATCCAGTCACAGATTCTCAAACAGGTGATGGTGGCATCGAAGATGTCATGTCCCTCTTGAAGCTGTTGCATAGGAGGATATTTTTTGAAAGGACGACAAGTTGCATAGGAGGTTATTTCTGCTGCTTAGGTGGTCGACGGCTTGGTTCCAGCCTTGGAGTTCAACGGTGATGTTGATTGCTCCAGGCCTAGTTAAGCTAGGCATGTGGTCATGCAGTGGTGGTTTTGGATGCATGATGGTGATTCAAAAGATTCAACGTGGTTGTTGCTCCCTTGGAGTTGCACTCCATGTTTGGATGCACCGCTGATATGATGAGAGTGGCTGAGGTTGAGTCGGGGCTGCTACGCTGATGGAGCGATGGAGCTTGGCAATAAAATCGCGAAGTGGGTATCTCTTGCTATGTCAATGGTGGTCCTGGGTTTTGGATAGAAGTATTGGTTGTTGTCCGCACAGGAAGTCGAAGCTGCTGGGTCAGTGGTGCAAGGACCTTGGCAACGATGACCAGAGGTGGACTCTGTAATTTGTTGCTTGCTCTGCTTGAGTTGTTTGGGTTCATCCAACATAGTTTTTACTCTTGTTCAATTGTTTTCACTGGTTTCCCTCGGGTTAACGTGTAGTTGTAAGGTTTCAGGTCTAGTTTTCCCTTATAAAAGGGCTTCACTCTTCTACGGTAAACTTTGGGAACTCCATGATTCAAAGGTCCTTTGAAAAAAAAATGTTTAAAGAAATGACTAAACAATTTCATATTAGTCTCGAAGTTCTAGATATACTATGTTTCACATGGTTCCCTTGCAATCACTGAAACTGAAGACATTTGACAGTAATCAGTCAATTTTTTCATTGTTGCCCAAAATCGGGGTGATAAAGGGGCTGTTTGGTCTGCAGCCGACACCAGCCGCATGCGTTGTGGCGTCGTCGAACATTAGGCGGAGAAAAGGGCCGCCATAGGTGTGATGAAGATTAACAAAGGAATGAGCCAGAGAATCTTGTGACAGCCACAACAGATTCTGGAACCAAACACTGGCCAAGTTCCTGTAGCAGCCGTAGGTGTGGCGTGGCAGGCAACGGCTAGCAACCAAATAGCTCCAAAGTAACTAGCCTAAGCATCTCAAATCCTCAACTGGCCAGCAATTGAATTAATCGCTATTAGTCTCGAAGTTCTATATATATTGCGTTTCACATGGTGTCCTTGAAATCACTGAAACTGAAGACCATTGACAGCAACCGGCCAATTTTTTTTCATTGTTGCCCAAAATCGGGGTGATAAAGTAACTAGCCTAAGCATCTCAAATCCTGAACTGGCCAACAATTCAATTAACCGCTAAAGAAAGAGGGTAAGACGATTACAAACCCTGTTCAGAAATCTGGAGCCGTCAAAGCTTCAAGAACCGAACCATCACTAGCAAATGCTGAGGAGAGAGGTTCAAAAAAATGCTGGGGGAGACAACAAGTACCATGGGCCACGGCGGTGAGAGGGGAAGTAGTCCGCGTCGTCTCGGCGGTATGGACCGACAGGGGTCGGAGAGAGAGGAAAGCAAGAGGCGGACATGGGTGTTCCATACTAATAGGTCTGGTGGCCGCGCCGCGATGCGCGGAGCTGGGGTCGGAGGCTTGGCCGAGCGCCCGCGAACCATGGGAGATAGAGGAAGGGGTGGTGCCTATTTGGTATTGCCTTGCTCGGTGGCCGAAACAGTGGAGCGGAGCTTTTGGCGACTAGTCGACTACAGGGGTGTTTGGATCCCTGCCATGCGTTGCCACGCCTCACCTGTGGTGCGCCATGCACGCAAAAGTTGTCGTTTGATTCAACATGCAAATGGGACAGCCACAAATTTTGCTAGTGTAAAACCACGCCACAGGTGTGGCGGCTATTTTTAGCGCCACAAATTATGGCGATGCTATTGAGCGAATTGCTGGTTCCGGATGGGAACCAAACATCCCCTATGCTTCTCGAATCGGACACTCGTGGGCGAATGAAACTAATAAAACCGAGGATTTTTATTTTTTTAATAAAAATAATATTTATCATAAAATATTTGGACTCTATCTTAAAAGTAAAGATGGAGGCCGTACAACATGGTGAAGCCAGCATGGGGCGCATCACCCAAGCTTGTCGATTGCTAGATATGGCTATGATGCTATTTTTTTATTTCTTCGCATGGCCACATATGTAGCCTGTTCGTTTGGTCGTATTTGGCTTATAAGCCATGGTTTATCAGTCAAATAAGCCAAACCAGCCCAAATGAATAGGGCGATGATAAATTTAAGTTTTGATGAGTTTTATCTTTGTTACTAGTTATGCTACAATAAGTGGTGTGGTCTGATTCTATTGGTGATATGAGACGAAGTCATATTTATTTCCTTTGTATCTAAAAAATCGGTGCAACTAGAGTTTATTGTTTTGGTGTGAGTTTTTATAAAAACGATTGTTTTTATCTCAACTTTTGCGAAAATGCATGTATTAGTGAATGTGTATCGTCTAAATTTTTTAAGGCTAAAGTATGCTTGCTTACACCAAATTCAAATCGCAATGCCTCATAATTGTGCTACTCACTATTTAGCATATTCTGACATTTGAAATTTGTCTCATCATGAAATACAAGGGACTCAAGAAACATAAAGATAATGTTTACTAAATAGAAATATATGATTCAGCACATGCCATGTTTTTGTACGAGGAATCTAAGAGTCTCTCCTTTAATTATGGAGAATAGAGTCAGATTTCAATAGATTAGGAAGTTAAATGAGGGATACATATGTCTATTGCATCTCCCTTATTTTGTCTAAGAATAGCTAGAATGCGCTATATTTCAAGATGGAATGAGTAGTTTTCAGCATTATATTATTTTCCGCTATAAGATCTAAAAGTTGAATATAGTTACCCTCGGAAATGCGCGTTGCCTAATTGGCTTTAAAAGTTTCGCAGAACTAAAATAATAACTTGGTTAGATCACTAAGAGAGAGGGAAAAATGATACACTAACATGTCGTACGCAATTGTCTACATTAGAATTCTTTAAGCTAAGAGGTTCGTGATTTGTGCCACATGCTCTCGTCACTATGAGTTAGGTAACTTTACACGTGAGTTAGGTAACTATGATTAACGCTCGCCACATGCTCTCGTCACTAATGTGCTGTGCCTATGTACCAACTCTTGCTAATCCTTGCCCACTCACGCAAGTAAACTGGCATGTGAAATTATGTTCTACGTCCATTACAGTCCTAAACGATTGTGCTACGGTGAAACCACCTTAGGAACTGAGTTAGCTTTTCAAAAACAGTTTTCACTTGGATCTCACCGCGTCATTAGATGCAATGCAGATGCAAAGTTAGTTCAAACATAGTGGCACTAAACAACCATTTTACATTAGAGTCACCCTCTTAATAGTACACTATCTATTCTAAACCCAACCACACACTCTATTACGTCTTGGTCGATGAAATAAAAACCCGTAGTAGATACCTTTGCCTTTGGGCTTGTTTTCATCTTCTCTTCTTCTCTCCAAGTGTGAGCTTGCTCCATATGGCTTGACCATCCTCACAACCATCTCCTAGCCTTGCTCACCATCTTGATGTGAACCCTAGTTCAATCACAACTCAATGAAACCATTAGTCTACTAGTTGCCATTCAATTACCAAAACCAAACTTAGGGATTTTAGTGGTCGGGCTCGCATATCGTGCACTGTTGGTGGTCGAGATCATGCTCGTGCAACACTGACGGCTCGAGCTCATGCTCACGTGTGCCGGCAGCCGAGATGTCATGCCTGTGAGGGGCAAGTAGCCAAGCTTGTGCCCGTGCATGACGGCTCGCTCGTGACAGAGTCCGCCAGTGGCCAAGCTCGTGCCCGTCTGTTACTGGTGGCCGAGGATACCTGGCATAAGCCCTCTAGTTCTTGTGTAGATGGATCTCGCCGCCATGAGATCGAACCTCTTGCTGGCCATGGAGGTGGAGGTAGGAGCCAAGTACAACCACGGGGGAAGCATGCGAGGAGCCCGGCTTCGAGTAGCAGCACCACAGCCTCGCGCGGCCTCGCCCCCGCCCCATGCTCACTGGCTGCACGTACGCCACTGCCACCGCCCCCGCCCCGGGCTCATCGTTCGCACAACGCTCCCGGTACTCCTAGGCTCCGCATGCTTCTGCCTCTCACTACTACAGAAGTTAACTGTAGGGGCGGCTCTAGAGCCTCTGTAGGGGCGGCTGCGCCAGCCGCCCTTTCCAGGGTGTTCCTACAGAGGGTGCCTCTGTAGGGGCGGCTAGTGTTTTCAGCCGCCCCTACAGTAGACTTCTGTAAGGACGGCTGTATCACCAGCCGCCCCTGCTGTGTGTATTTGTAAGGGCGGTTCAATCAAGAACCGCCCCTACAGTGGATTTTCCAGCAAAAAAATAATTCAAATTCAAATCTGACCACACATATATATATATAATTCAAATTCGAATATGACCGCCACAAATATACATATATACATCCACAAACACAAGACCATTATTTAGAACATCATCATAAGTCATAATTCACAAAAGTCTATCATTACAACATAGTCCATTATGAAGTCCATCATTATAACATAGTCCATTAAGAAATCCACAAGTCCACATGCAAAACAAAGTCTAAACCATTCCAAAGTCTGATCCAAACCATACCACAAGTCCACATTGTCATCAACGGCCTAGGGCTAGCCT